ACTAAACTCTACACATTATTTAAGCTACACTAACGTGACGTTTAGGCGGTTCGTTTAACTCTTATACGTGATGTACGTTTTTTTTTTGGGGGGGGGGGGTAATCAAAGTGTTCCAAAACGCGACATTAATTTCTTGACGACCTAATACATTGACCTCAATACTTTATATCGAGGGGACACAGTATAACTGACGAAATGTATGTTGTTTCTAAATATCAAAAATTTGTGTGAACATATGCACGTGATAGTTCTGTAAAATTATTGAAACATCGCTTCCCAAATAAATAAGACCCCACCCCCCACTTTTAACCTGTGAAGATCCAGATAGTAGTCTGTCACGGTACTTTATCACGTTGTAAAAGTTAAAGCCTACAAAAAACAAAAAGACCGACACTTATCTCTTGTCACTAAGCTGTAATATTTTATCGCATTTCTTTTTTGTAAATGTTTCTTAAACTTGAATTTTTGCTTTCGTGGCACATCTGAGTCGAAGTCGTGGTGGTATAGATGAAAGGCCTAGGTTACACAAAAGATTGTTGTATTGTACTTGTGCACGTTTCTGGTTGTAAGTTCGTAAAGTGCCAGAAATATCTTGTTCAAATTATCATAGTCTATTGATAAGCTTCATCACATTTAGTCACAAGCTGACATGAGTTTTAACATGCAGACTTTACTATCTAAAGTGTACCAAACACTGTTTTAAGGGAAAATACGTGTAGGACGACCGTTGTTCATAAACCATACATATTTGAAATATTTTTATAGTTTTTCCCAGCACGGCCGTTCTTGCGATTAGCATATCGATAGATCCGCGTTCCACACTTTAATTTCTGGGGCTGTTATAATCGTGACAATCGATTCCGCTATTTTATTAACAGTAGCTGCGTGTGCGGCGGATGCTGCTGACTGGTTACACTCTCTCTTTGGTCAGCAGCTCTGAATTAAGGATGACTATGCCTGAACTTAGAATCTTTGATCTGGCCTTTTAGCCTCTGTGTTACATAAGGTGCCGTTTAGGTAAAAGTACCACACTTATACTTTTACCCACGCAAATATGTTTATTAAACTACTTTTCTGAAGTGCAAATATGTTATGTAAAATCTTTAAACATTATAAAATATAACTTTCTAATTAGCCACCTGTACTGGTCAATATATAATCATCAAGAAATAGCAATATATGTTAAAATGAATCCTGGGCGTGGCCTAGTGGTTAGCGTGGTAGTCTGCGAAACGGAGGCCCAAGGTTTACGATGCGATGAAGACGCATCACTCTTAAGCTGTTGGCGCACCATACACATATTTCATGGTTAATGCAGGTGTCAGAACGGCTTACGATGACATTGCTTATCAATATAAATGCGAGTGGAGTCGCGCATTACACTGAATAGTAAATGTTTTAAGTAACCTTAAACTGTAGGGAAAAATGATACTTTTATTGAACAATAATCAGTTTTGATGCTCAGAGAGTATAGAACATTTTTATTCAATGGAGAGTGCTTCCAAGATTGAATGGGGTTCAAAATATTAGTTGTTTTTTATTTAAAACTTGTTTATTGTCGGATATACAGAATATAATATCCATGGTTTACCTGGTGAAACGTTGTAACCGTAGGTATTATATTTTGTATATCCGGCAATAAACAAGTTTCAGGTTTTTCTGTAACAGGGCACTTCGTTTAATTAATTAGTTGTTTTTTCTTACATATTTCTGTCCCCTTTCATAATCGGTTTCATAACTTATTATGTAGTTGAGGTTACATTAACTGGATTGATTTTCCACTGGATTTATTACGTGATGTGATGCACGTTAAGTTCTAACTAGTGTTTGATTGAAGTAATTCATGAAAAGTGTATGTATAAATACATGTTTATTCAGATTTAAGATATGGACTTGACTCTTATATGTTAACTTTTAAGTTATTAAGTTCAGCGTCATACTCGTATGTTACGCGTAAACTCTCTTATGTCAAGGTTTTTAGTTGCTGGGTGACGTTATAGACCTGCTCATCATCTTCATCGAGCTATTGTACATACAAGCTAAAAATAAGCATGAAATGAGATTGTAATTTCTCGTCCCCAACAGGAGGACTTCATTCACTCAATATCTCAGCATGTAAAAGATAGCTTATAAAAATGTCAGTATTTTCACAAAAAATAAAACCTTTCTAGAAAGTTTTTTTTTGAGATACATAAAACAACAACAACATTTTCTTTGATACTGTCTTGTTTCCATTGTCTTCGAATGACATTTTTTTTCCATTCCTGTTTCATTTTACACGACAGGATTACTCGAGATCATTTTTTTCGGGAATGAAACCTTGATTGATGAGATTTTAGATCCATTTTCATAATCACATAGAGAGAAAACAAGCACAGTAGTTGTTATCAAAACAAGCATATATATATATATATAGGTTGGAACCGTTACGAAAATAACATTTTTTTTTGCATAACAATACAACTAGCACTTGTATTACTCTTAAAAACGCTGAGTTAACTCAGTGAAACACAGCAAGTTCAAAGGCACTTGGATTTAATGATCCCAGACGTGGCATTGGATTTACAGATCCAGCCACCCCTGATCATGGGACGTTTGTTGATTGCTTTGTCGAACGTTCGTCGCCATACTTCTCTACAACTTCACGTCATCGGCCTTGGTCTTCTTCTCTTCTCTGCAACCCACCGGACAATCTCTCTCTGGTTCTCTCACTCTTTTTAAAT